GTTTTCTCTGGGTTATTTAGTCGTTATTTACCTTTTGAATTCAACACTTAAATTTTTTCGTGTTTTATAGTAACTATTTAAAGCTATAAATCCCCCTGTAACTGTTGTTTTAATTGGATCTCACAAGTTTCATTATGTGAGGCTTCTTTTTGTCATTCATTTCTAAATATTTTGTAATTTCCATATTGGTTTTCTTTTTAATACATATGTATTTTTCAGTTTCCAAATGTGTGTTCTTTTTCTCTTAAGAATGTTTTAAAATCTTTCAACATACACCAAGGTATGAACACTACTATAACGATCACTTAGCTTAATGCTTATCAGGCTTAATTTTATTTTTCATAAGTAACAGATGCACATGATAAACAAAAATCTTGTCTTCGGGACCTTCTCAGAGGCAATTTCAGTAAGTAATTTAAGGTCTGTAAGTGGTATGGGTTTCTTTCTGGCTGCCTTTCTGTTGATTCTTCATTTTACTTCATTGTGGTTTGTGAATGTGGTCTATAGATTCTTTGGAATTTATTGAGGCTTCCTTTGCGGCCAGTATACAGTCAATTTCTGTAAATGTTCCAAGTATGTTTGAAAAGAACAGATGTGCTGATGTTTTGTGTTTTTTTTTTTTTTTTTTCTAAAATACAAACTTGATCTCATCACTTCCTCCCTGATAGCTTTTGTGGTCTTCAGCTAAAAGACGACCCTCTTAGCCTATGATTTGGCCCTAGGCTTCCTCTCCAGCCAGGTTACTTGGCCACCTGCCTTATGTACAAGGAATTTATGTCCATGTAGCTCCTGGACCTTTCAGGGCCAACTTTCAGAAGAAAACTTGAACTGGCAGAATGTTCTGTAGCAAACAGCCCAACATCTGGCGCATCGAGGGTCCCAACGGAGACTCACTGAGCTAGCTTCTGAGGGTGGAGTCACATTGAGGCAGGACAGTCACCTGCTGGTGGGTCACTCACTCATCTGGAACGCCAATCCTTACTACTTGCTTCTGGTGAAGCCAGTTCACCTCACTGGGACCTCTGGTTGCTGTATCCCTCCATGCTAATGTCTCAGCACTTTCTCTCCCTCCTATGTCTGCCTGCCCATACCATGGTGGGCGACTTCAAAGACCCTCCCACCGACACTCTCCAGTTGCTTTGACTTCTAGGGTCAGCTGTATTGGTTCAACCCAAACCCACCCCATGAGGAGTCTACACAGAGCTTCTGCTCTGGGGCCCCTGGTGGGGCGATGGGAGATTGAGGGGGATCGGGAGTGACTCTCCTCCCTACGTATTTATGATGGTTTCAACCTTAGCTGGGACCTCACTTTTGCATTCCCTTTGGCATGTGTTCCAAACCTTTGATTCCCCTCAAATCCCTGAGCATCTCCCAGCTCCTTTGTTTAGCAGAATGATAGCTTTGCTGCTTTGTGGAGAAAATAGAAAACATCAGGGGTGAACCTTTCTTTATCTAACCATTTTTACCTCCTCTCCTCCAGCTTCAGAAATGTCTCTTCTTCCTTTCTGGGGTCAAAGAAAAACCTTGACCATATGCCCTTGACCCCATCCATATGCCCTTGACCCCATCCTTTCCTGTCTCCCCTGTTTTTTATTCTATTGGTTATTCCCTCTACTCCTCTTCATGTTTCCCCTTCCCAAACCACGCTTTCTAGAAGTAGTCAGCACCCCCTTCTCCCCTTCTTCAGCTTCCATGCACTCACTTGTCTTGGAGGCCAATCCAGCTTCCTCCTGTTTCTATGGGCTCTTGTTGGCCATCACATTCTAAACGGGTGGCACATCCTTCTTCTTCTTCTTTTTTTAGTGTTTATTTATTTTGTGTGTGTGAGAAAGCGAGAGAATGAGCAAGGGAGGGGCAGAGAGGATCTGAAGTGGGCTCTCCACTGAATCAGAGAGCCCAATGGGGGCTTGAACTCACAAACCGTGAGACCATGACCTGAGTCAAAGTCAGATGCTTAACCAACAGAACCACCCAGGTGCTCCTATGTGGCACATCTTTCTTGATCTCTCCAGAGCACTGACAATTCAGACCACACCCTGCTACTCAATACCCCCTCCCACCTGTTTTCCTCTGATACCACTTGGCCTTGAATTCCTTTCTTCTCTTTCTACCTCCTTTCTTGGCTCTTTGATCCTGAAATGTCGGTGTTCCCAGTGTTTTCTATCCATGGGTCTCTGTTTTTATTCCTCTACCCACCCCCCCCTTCCCAGGAAAGCACACGTGTCATCACAAAGGGGCATAGTCTTCACCAAACTTCAAACAAGGGCTGCCATAGGGCAATGCCCACGGATTGCCCCCATTTTTCAAGAGCTGTCAGATACCCTAGGGTTTTATGTGAAATGTTTCAGCTTTAAATATTGGTAATGAATTCAAAATTTTATAAAACTATGCAGGGTAAACAAAACATAGATGGTCTCCATAGAGCTGTTCTCTTCTTTGAGTGCCCCGGAGGCATTTTATAAAGTATTTTATTAGTAAAGATAACTCACATCGAGGCCTTACTATGCATCAGATACTCTAAGTGGTTTGCACCTATGAACTCCTCTCTTCTCAACGATCCTGTATCAACAATGTGCTATTATTATCCCTGCTTTATAGATGAGCAAACTGGGATGGACAGCTTCAGTATTTTGTCCTGGGTCTTAGAGATACTGAGTTTAAGAACCAGAATTCAAATCCAGACAGTCCAGCTCTCCAGCTCAAGTTGTTTTTTTTTTTTTAAGTTTATTTATTTATTTTGGGGGGGGGTGGGTTGCAGAGAGAGAGGGAGAGAGAATCCAAGCAGGCTCCTCCGTGCTGTCATGGCAGAGCCAGATATGGATGGGGCTTGATCTCACAACCGTGAGGTCATGACCTGAGTGGCAATCAAGAGTCCGATGCTTAACGGACTGAGCCACCCAGCCGCCCCCCAAGCTCAAGCTCTTAACTAGTACACACTACAGCTTTCCTCACTCAGCAGACAGGGAAACTGAGGTCCAGAGAGGTTGAGAAATTGTCCAAGATCACAGGAGCGGTAACCGGTCAAGCAGGGATTTGAAGTTATCATCACAGAGATAGATGCTTCCACTCTGCTGTTCTGTAATCAGTTACCTGTTTCCCTGCTAGACTGCGTCCCCGGGAACTGGGAGGCAAGCGTTTGAAAAATGAGTGCCCTCGCCTGGCAGAGTCCACTCACTTCTCTTAATAACTTCATTTGCTTCTCCCAACAATCCCTAGTTAAGACAGTAGCACATTGAATCAGCTCTTCCAATGGGCGTGATTTCTTTCAAAACCTCATGAACACACTATTTCATGGGGACTATTATCATCCCCATTTAACAGAAGAAGAAACTGAGGCTCATTGCAGCTCAGTGACTTGCCCAAGATCTGGCAACTAGTAGGTGGCAGAGCCAGGATTTCAGTTCAAGCTATGTGACAACAGAGCCCTCATTGCTGACCCTGAGGCCGCAGTGTCGGTTGTACAGATGGGGACACTGAGGCCCCGGGGCAGCGTACTGGCTTGTGTCCGCGGAGCCATGACTTTTAGGGGGAGAATCCCGCTGCATGCCTCCCCTTCCGACTCCTAGGTCGTGGGGTGCCACTGTGGGGCTGCAGGGGGAGGGAGGCAACCAGGGGCCCAGCCGGGTAAAGCGCGGAGAGAGGCGCGAGAAGAGCCGAACTCTGCATCCAGGGGAGGGCCTCCGCGGCACCATGGCAACGGCGCGGCGGGAAAGCAGGAAGTGCGTCACCAGGGGAGGGACTAATAGGTGACATCCACCAATGGGAGCGCCGCGCCCGCGTTCGCCCCGCCCCGCAGGAGGAGCCGAGGCCGCCTTTCTGCCTGGGCCGCCGGTGTCTGGGGCTACGCCGGGGTACCGCGGTGGGTAATCGGGGCGCGGGGCCGCGAGGCTGCCAGGGATGGAAGAGGGCCGTGCAGAGAGGCGACGGAGGACGGAAGGTGGGGGTCAGGCCCCGGGGTCGGCCCGTGTCTGTACCGGAGTGTGGCGCTGGGGGCCCGGGGGCTTGGGGCTCCTCATTTCCTGATGAGGAAACTGAGGCCCAGAGAGGGGCAGGAAGGCAAAGTAGGCTGGAACCTAGGACCCCCGGCACACAGACATTGTTAAATCGTAGTACCAGGTGGACAAAGCGTTTTGCTCCTAATATTAGGTGAAAAAAAGCAAAATACAGAATTCTGTCCGAACTGAATACGTAAAATGTCGCCTTTGTGGACCACCTCAGTTATCTCGCCTCCCTCTGCCCTTGTCCTAGAAATCCTTACTTTGTGCAAGTCCACAGCCTCGTATTTTAAAGCCGGAGGCCATATGTGGTCAGAATCCCGAATTTCTCGGATTTTCGAAAGGAATATGATGCATATATTCGATGTTAGGTCATACCTTCAATTGGGGTCTGGGGCAGCCTCTTGTAATCAAATACACTAATATTTTCACAGCTAAATATGTGCGTATTTACATCAAAGGAGGTAAAGGACCGCCATACAGAGTCTCACCTTAGGTCAGGTTTTCAAACTTAAAAGATTTGGGTTTTAGGACGTCTTTTGATTTGAGAATTGTAGGTAGAGCGGTCCTGATTTAATTGTAGGCTCCTGTTTCTTGCTTACCTGGACAGTTCCTGAACTGTTTGTTTTGCCACCCTTATGCCCATCACCTGGGCCCTCCGTCTCTCTTAACTCATCTTTTTAACATTTATTTTGGCCGGTATGTAACATATTTACATCCTTTTTTAATCAAGATATATAACATATGTGGGACTTCGGCTCGGGTCATGATCTCACGGTTCGTGGGTTCAAGCCCCGCGTCGGGCTCTGTGCTGACAGCTCAGAGCCTGGAGCCTGCGTCTGATTCTGTGTCTCCCTCTCTCGGTCTGCCCCTCCTCTGCTCGCTCTCTGTTTCTCTCTGTCAAAAATAAATGTTAAAAAAAATGTTAAGACCTATAACATATCTATAAAAATGTTTGCAACTGTAAATTTAAAGAATAAAAATAAAATAAACACCCATATATCCAGCATCAGGTTAGGAAATCGAACAATTCCATATCCGTAATGCCCAGGTTGAATCCTTTCTTCCCGTCACTAAAGACGGAGGCGGTCGCCTCCCTGTATTGTGTTACCTAATCCCTTGTTTTTCTTTGTGGTTGTTACTATGCATCTGTAATGACTACCACGTATGTTTTGCTAGGTTTTATATTTTATAGAGGATCCTAATCTATATTTGTGTGACTTTATTTTTGCATGTAACATTACATATATGAGATATGTCCATGTTGACGTGAGTAGCCCCATTTCACTTTCATTGCTTCGTGGCTATTTTGAATTCCGTGGCCTGATTGTAAATGGAGGCGTTCTTCAACTGATTGTCATTTAGACGGTTGCCAGATTTTTGCTATCACATGGTGATATTTTTGCTATCACACATTTCCTGAGGCAGATGTGGAAAAGGTTCTGTAAGTTATATACCTAACCGTGGATTTCTGGGGCTACCCGGGTTTGCTATTAATATCGAATCGTCTGAAGTGGTTTATAAGAAGAGTTTACCCTTTACCAGCCTCAGCCATTCTGAAGACTTTTTGCCTACACCTGGGGATGAATAAGACATTAATCACCATGGCTTGAATACTCATTTGCCTGATGACCTTGAGATTGAGCATCTTTTAATGTATTTATTCATCATCTGTGCATCCTCTTTGAACATTTCTGTTGCTGATTTCTCGCTTACAGTTGTCTTCCCCTTACTGATATGTAGGGATTCTTTGTGTGTTCTGAGTATGAATCTTTTGTGGCTTCACTGTGTGTCAGATACTTTCCAGTGTGTAGCTTTTCTTCTCTCTTTCTCTCCCATCCTCTACTGTTTTTGGTGAACAGAGGTTTTTAATTTTAATGAAGTAGAATTTATCGGTATATTCCTCTATGGTTTATGCTTTCTGTATCTTTTTAAGAAATTCTTCCCTGCCTTTGGCTCATAAAAGATGTTCTCCGGGGTGCCTGGGTGGCTCAGTCAGTTGAGCGTGCGACTCTTGATTTCAGCTCAGGTCATGATCTCAAGATTCATGGGATTGAGCCCCATGTCGATCCTGCAGAGCCTGCTTGGGATTTCCTCCCTCTCTCTCTCTGCCTCTCCCCTGCTCTCTCTCTCAAAATAAATAATTAAACATTAAAAAATAAAATCTTGAAAAAAGAAAGATGTTCCCCTATATTGTTGTCCAAAAGTTTTATGGTGTTTCCTTACCTACGCTCTTCACCCTCCAAAAGACTTTTATGCATAGTCTGAGGTGAGGGTTGGGCTGTCTGTTTTTTCACATAAGGGTGATCTGTTGCCCTGGCACCTTTTATTGAAAAGCTTGCTTTGCTCTGGAGTTCCATTTCTGCAGCGTATCAGGTATTCATATCTGTGCGTTTCTGTGTCTGAGTTGTCTGTTCTGGCCCACTGGTCTTCTCTGGTCCATGTCTGTACCATTGTCACACATTGTTCCTTACTCGAGCTTCAGAATAAACTGCTAACTGGTGGAACAAGTCCTCCTGCCTTTATCTTCTCCCAGAATGGCGTTGCTGTTTCGCCTTTATTTTTCCATGTAAATTTTGGAATGATCTCATCAAATCACTCACAGACACAAGAAGCCTATTGGGATGTTGATTGGAATCGCACCGATTCCGTTGCATTGGCTCAGTTTGGATTTGAAAGTGGTTGCTTTCAACATTCCATCCTTAAGTATGATGGTCACTGTAGGGTTTTGTCGATATCTTTAGCAGATAAAGGAAGTTTTCTTCAATTCCAAGTTTGTTAAGAGTTTTTAGTACCAGTGACTGTTGAATTTTATCAATCGTATTTTCTGAATCTATTAAGGTGATAGGCTTTTTCATCTGTATGCTGTTAATGTGGTGGCTCACACTGATTGATTTTTTTCCAGCTTTATTAAGACATTATTGACATAGAACGTTTGACTGATTTTTAAATGTTAAACTGCTGCCCGGATAAATCCAACTTGGTTACCGTATATTATCCTCTTTACGTTGCTAGTTCAGATTAACGTTTTGCTTAGGACCATTGCAGCTATGTTCCTGAAAGATACATTTTCCTTTCTTTTGAAGTCTCTGTTAGATTTTAATGCCCAACATATGTCAACCTTATCAGATGATTTGGGGAGGGTTTGCTCTTTTTTGGGCTCTGAGATAGTTTTGTGACATCTGAAATCACTTCTAGAATGTTTGATAGGACTTCTTGATAAATCTTTCCGGATCTGAAGTTTTCTTTGTTGGGGGATAGATTTCCCACAGTGTGTCTTCAATGGTTATAAAACCTGTTAGGTTTTCAGATCATTCTTTAGTTGGTTTTGAATGGATTTCCCATAACTTTGCCTATTTAAAACTCATGATTATTAGAAGTTGTTTATGTCTCTGCAATTAGTGTTCCTTTTTCATTCCAAATATTGTTTATTTGTTAGTCTTCTCTCGGAAGATCTTGTCAGAGGTTGGTCGCTTTTATTGTGTTTTTTTTTTTTCTTAAATTTTTAAAAATGTTTATTTATTTTTGAGAGAGAGAGAGATCGATTGTGAGCTGGGGAGGGGCAGAGAGAGAGAGGGACCCAGAATCTGAAGCAAGCTCCAAGCTCTGAGCTGTCAGCACAGAGCCCTATGTGGGGCTCGAACCCACAAACTGTGAGATCATGACCTGAATGGAAGTCAGAGGCTTAACCGACTGGGCCACCCGGGTGCTCCTATTATGTTTTTTTTTTCAAAGACTAATTTTCGTTTTGTTGATCTCAGGTATATGCTAATTTCATTAAATTCTGCTCTTTATTATTTAAGTTTCTTGAAATTCATGAAGAGGACTCCGGAAGAAAAGGGTTGAGGAGGGGGAAGGAGGGGTCCAATTTAGGATCTGTTGAGGCTGCATTTCCGGTGAACTGTCCTCAAGGAAGTTTCGCAGGCAGGCAGGCAGAGAAACCGGCCATGAGCTGGCGTGTCTTCCTCCGAGGTCCAGCCGATGTGCTGCTTGGAAAGAAGAGCGAGCGACAGCCCGCCTTCCTGTGTGTCTCCTAGTCCTGTCTCCTTTAACCTCATCTTCTGCCTTAAAGAGAGCTTTTTATTATCCCCATCTTATGGACGAGAAGACTGAGGCTTAGGGAGATGAAGCTTGTTAGCTAGAAATGTTTTCGTGCCGTATTTGCCCAAGGTAACAGCCAGTTTCTTGTCTGGTCATGGCATCGCCTGGAGTGTGTATTAAAACCTCAGAATTCCAGCCCCTCTGCGGCCTGAACCTCCAGCGAAGGGGCCTGGGAATCTGTATTTTTCACGCACAGATTAGATGATTTTTTTTTTTAATTTTTTTTTTTT